CAGTTTTCTTTCATAGGGCAAGTTTGAAAACAGTACAACTATTGATAAGGGACTGTTTGGTTTGTCGTACCCCATATTCCTTTGTCTATTGCATTATTTTGTCATTGACCCAAACATCCCCTTCCCCAATTTAAATTATTTGCGTCTAACATAGAATTATATTTCGAAAAATACTTAGATTTTTGACAAGTTAAAGATATATACGTACTTTAGGTTGATTGCCGTTAAATGCTTGATAAATAGGAGAGAAATGCAAAAACGGTGAATGGTCGATTTTCAATGATAGTCAACATCGAGATGGAACTTCACCAGTAGTCTTGATTCCTTTTCGTTTTCTTTCCTTTTAAAAAATGAAACAAATTCTGACCCATTAACTTATCGTCTTAAAATAGTGCTACTATTGATGACACATATTTACATTTTAGAACTCTTACACCAATTTCTTCTACCACTTTTAACAATTCCACAAAATAATTGGCCAAGTTTAATTTAATTTAATTGGTTAAGACCTATATTATCCCATATGTTGTTGAACTAGCAATTTGATGTGTCATTTTAGTCTTTAAATTAAAAAAAAAAACAATTATGTTCTTCCGTTGATTTTTTTTACATGTGTACCAATTTGAGATTCGAACTTTAACCTATTTACAAGCCAACAAGCTACAAGCTCTTTCGATTTTAAATTGTAAATTTTGATTCTATAAATTATTGATATCAATGATTAAGCGAGGATATGACATACCTATTAAATAGTTTACAGCTACTTTAGTATAATTTGACAAACAAATAGAAGGAAAACAAAAAGATGATTAAACAAAATATAGTATTAATGTCTATAAAAGAAATTTGATACTAGTTACTTACCACCCATAGAATGAAGTTATTTTGTAGATAGGAAAATTATAAATTTGTAAATTAAAAAAAAAATCAAAATTTCAAATATGACATTTTTCTATTCTCACATCATTGAAAGTAATATTTATCACAAAGAGATCATTTTTCTTTTAACTTCCAACTTTTAACTGCCTTCTACTACCATTTTTCTTTCATTTCATCTATTATTTTCGAAAAATTCTTCCCTACAAATCAGTATAACATATATTATTAATGTACATGTTGTTGCACTTACGTTAATTTTCATAAAAAGAATATATATATATATATATATATATATATATATTTGGCAAAAATAATCCTTTGTAGATGTGTAATCATTTCAACTATATTCAAATTTACCATTCAACCACATTTTGAAAGAAAGTAAAATAGATGCAGTGAACGAACCCATATATAAGTTGTATTTTGGATTCAAGTCCAAAATTGCGGTCCTCCCAATTATTGTTATTATGATTTTTTATTTTTATTTTTTGAGAAATTATCATTATTATTTCGAGCCGAGGGTGGGGCCCACAATGCACTCATAGAATTGGGGTGGAATTATAAAGAGTGGAGTAGCGTATAATCCGGAAAAAAAATAAAATAAAATAAAATAGCATTTACATGCAATTTTACGGATGCCTCTTTGGACCACGCTTCCTTTCTTGCCACCTGGCACTTACCCACAATTAAATTTTCTCTAATGAATTCGAATTCCTATAATGTTCTAACTGTATGATTTAACAATTACATGATAAATTAATTTTGAACGTATTTGGTGGCATAAATAATAAACTAACAAAATTAAATCCCTATTAAATATTATTACTGGTATAATTTTAAAAAAGTTTATAAATCTATTAGAAACCTATCCAATTATAATAAACAATTTAATAATATTTATAATATAATTAAAGTCTCACATTAACTAATTAGAGAAAAATTATGAATATATAAATAAGGGACAACATTTAAAATTGATAATGTCGTAATATTAATAAATAGTAATTTTTTTTGGTACCACGGAAGTGTGGACATATCTTGTCAAATGAGAGGGAATTTCTAATGACGTGGTGTCAACTATATAATACATATTCTCATAACCTATTGGTTTTCAACCTCTCAAATCAATCCCATCTCATTTCAATTTTATCCATTTCCCTTACAATTTCCATCACTTGTTACTTGGAAGCTCAACTCAATTAGGTTGGTTTCGTGTCGATTTTTCGCTTCCATTCGGTTTCTTTTTTTTTCCTAAAAAATATTGAATTGACTTGTCAAGTATTACTAAAATAAAAGTAACGTTAAAATAAAATTTTAAAAAATTATTCGTTCCTAGTTATCTTGTAGATGGATCCTCTAGAACCATCGAGTCGGATCTGGTGTTTCAACTCATACCGAATATTAAATTATGCTTTGAGATGATATGTTAATAAAACTATCTAATAATTAATTTGATACAATGTGGCATAAAATAATGTATCTTGCCATTCATCTCAACAAATTTTTTGGCCTA